CTTCAAAACTACAAGATGAGGAAAGCGAGATTTGCTAGAATTTGTTCAGAAAACAATCTAGGGGTGTTTGTGGATTGTAAACCTAACATAAGTCTAAAGTGAGGGTGTGAACAGCTAGAACACTAATGCCATATAGTATTGTTTAAATAGAGGAAGAGCTTCCAAGAATATATAGAGAGTGATCTCCACTGAACTCTGCCCTTGTGTTAATTTATCTGGATCTTGGTGTTCAGCACTGATATGTTGACGAGTGTTAAGAGAAGCAGCAACTAGCATGGTGAAGGGACTGGAGTCCAGGTCATACGAGAATCCGTTGAAGGAACTGGAGAAAAAGAGATTTAAAGGGTCATATGGGAGTAGGTTTCATTTATTTGAAGGGCAGTCATATGGAGGATGGATTAAATTGTTTTCTGACTGGTCCTAGAGGACAGAACCAAGACTCATGTATGGAAATCGCAACAAAACCAGTTTAGGCTTGAAGTTGGAAAATGTGACCTAAAAATTAGTCGTGCAAAACTTGTCTGGGTTAGAGCAGGCTGTAGTGGATCCTTCTTCAAGCAGAAGCTGGACATCCCCTTCCAGGTATGTCATAGGGGATCCTTTTGTGTATGGTTTAGATCACATGGCTGTCAAGTCCCTTCCAACTCTCACATTAAATGATTTCATAAATCTGTGATATTTGGGGTTCTAAGACAAAAACCTCTTAATAATACCACCATTTCAATCCAATGATTCCATCTTGTCTGAAGGGATCTTGAGATATGAGAGACTTTCTCCCTCTTCACGTCCACCTCCTTACCTCTCTAGCATTTTTAAGTCTCAGTCACAGTATCACCTTTTGGAAGAGGTCTTTCCCAGTTCTCCCTAATCTGAGTGCCTTCCCTCTGAGACTTTTCTTAATTTATTCTGTAATTATTTTATTTAGACATAGTTTTTTTAATCTATCATATCCTATTCAACACTGATATCTTCAAGAGCAAGGACTGAGTTTTTTGCCTTTCTTTGTACCCCAGTATTTAGTACAATGCCAGACACTTAATGACACTTAATAAATAAATACCAATATCATTTTGTCTATACATTCTTTGACAATATATACTTTGAAGTTATTTTTGAAAGTAAAACCTAGTCTCCAAGTGTGTTGTCTTGAAGTGAACTCTCCAACCATTTTGTTGGTTCATCTTCTGGGCAATTGGAACAATCAGACCGATCAACTGCTGTAGGCTGTCAAATGCCTATATAAGGAATAATTTAAGCAGGACAGGAAATTAAATTATTTTCCAGTTCATCATGATGGTGCCATGAAAATCCTTGTGAGTTCTCAAATGCATATCATGAGGACCAAAAATCAATTCCTTATCTATAAAATGAAGGAATTTGACTCGATGGCTCTAAAGTAACTTCCTACTATAAATCTATGATTCTCTAAAACAAGAAGGTCTGGGGCTCTGGGAAAGTCATGCACTGGATGTGTGTTGTCTAGGGACCAATGTCACTAAGTTTGGCAAAGTGATCACCACGTTGACTCAATGGTGATAGATTTTTCCTTGTAATCAAGACTTTTAGACAGGATCCATTAATTAATCCATAAGCATTTATTGAAAGCCTGCTATGTGTCAGGCAGTATGGTAGGTGCTATAACTATAAATCCAATGAATTTATACAAATATAAATACAATAAATACACTTTTTAGGAGCATGTATTCTCAGCATTTGTTATGTACCTACTGTCTTCTAGACACTGCAGTAAACAGTGGGGATGAAAAAGAAGGCAAAGACAATACTGGCTTTCAAGGACCTTGTAGTCTAATTGGATAAACCATTTGCAAGCAACTGAGGTGCAATTTAGTAGCTCTGTGACTCTGGACAAGTCTTTGCAATTCTATACATGCCAGTTTCGTTAGCAGTAAAATGATGGGTCAACATAGATGACCTCTAAAATTCTAATCAGTTCTAAATTTATGATCTTATGCATTGCCTTTTCATTAAATTTTATATTTATTTAATCCTAGGAGATTAGCACCTAGCATGGCAGCTGGCATGTAGCAGGTGCTCAGTAAGTGTTTATTGATTGACTGAACTTCTAATAGAGAGCAATAGAGTATGAAGAAGTACTCCTGGGGAAATAGGTTTCTCCTGTTCAATGAATTAATAGTATAAAATTAACTGGCGTAGGGGCCCTGAGACTAAGTGATTAATTGGGACACATTTTAATCTGGTTCAGGCCAACTAGAGAGTGTTGTGGGCAACATGCGGTCTGTGGGTTGTTTGTTGGCACATCTGCATTGCTGTATTATCACTAATCATAGCCTCAGATATAGTGCCAGATGTATCCTTTGCCCAAACTAGGCACCAATAATGTCAAAACATTAAATTTTTGGCTTTTACCAACTATAGTGATTTAGAAAGTAACTTCATGATTGACTTGGAGGAACTCTTCTCTCTGTATTGTGGCCATCAACTGGTCACAATTTTACTTTGGAAAACTTGTGTCTGAGGCTTCTTGTGTCTCTTTTTAAGTTTAATTGGTGTTTTCTTTTTGGTTTTGTATCACATTCATTTATCGTTTCCCTCTATCTCACTCTCATGAGCATTGCTTTGTGTCAATGATTTTTTTTAATAGCCCTCTATCAGGAGCAGTTTTCTTCTCCCCTAGAGGTGTTATAATTGCCACTTAGTGGACAAGAGTATCTGTTTACAGAGTACTCCAAGGTCTGTGGATTCCAACTTCAAAGATTTCTTCAAAGAAGTAGTGGCCGTGAGGGACAGATCAGGTGAGTGGGATGCCAGGACAAAGTACTCCCCCAAACTCCATTCAGTGCTAAACAATGATGGAGCTGCCTGTGATGGCTCATTTGCTTAATTGCTATGAATGGAAGACAATAAGAGTGATCAGAGAGGAAATGGAGAAAATCTGTCAAACAAATATGATGAAAAGCAGATGAGCTGAAACCAGTCAGGAACAAAGAGTGTATCAGGAGATGGAAATAGATCTGCGTCCTTTCCCTCTCTTCCTATTCCTGGATTGAAAGGAACTCTGTTGTTTATCTGTCTGTCACTCACTTGCAATCCTCCCCTCTTAATCTCCTAAGGAGTATGTTCAAGTTAATGGGAGGGGAAAAATTTTAGCTTCTTTATCCATTGCTAGAGAAAGCAGTCAGAATGTTGAAAACTTAATTTTTTAAAAATAAATTGCTCATTAAAAATAAGATGATCATTTGGAAAAAAAAAACATTGGTTAGGACTACATGGTAGAAGACTTCAGTCAGTCAACTAATCAATAAATATTTATTAAGCACCTACCATGTTCCAGGCAGGCACTGTGCTAAGCACTGGGGATACAAAGAAACGCAAACAAAACAAAACAAAAACAAAAACAAAAACAAAAACAACCAAAACAATCCCTTATCTCAAGAACTCATAGTTTAATGAGAAAGACAACACACAAGCCACCATGTACAAACAATGTATAGAGGATAAATTGGGTATAGTCTCATAGGGAAGGCAATAAGATTATGAAGATCTGCTTGCAGATGACGGGATTTTCACTGAGACTTGAAGGAAGCCAGAGAAACCAGGAGGCAGAGATGAGGAGTGAGAGTGGGCTGGATGGTGGACAGTCAGTGAAAATGCCAGAAATTGGGAGATGGAGTGTCTTGTTCGAGGATCAGCAAGGAGGCCAGTGTCACTAGATTATGAGCACAGGGTAGGGAGGGGAAGGAAGTTATAAGAAGACTGTGAGGGTGGCAGAAGAAGGTTATGAAGGGCTTGGAACACCAAACACAGGATTTTATATTTGATGCTGGAGCATCAGCTTATGTAGGTCTTATAGGACTTGAGGACTTGACTGCAAGGAAAGCAGTTTGAATTTTCTTCAGGAAGCAATAGGAGCCATTGGACATCTTGGAGCAGAGAAATAACATGATCCTAAATTATTATATTAAAGTCAGTGAACCAATCAATGTTTTCTATTTCACCGAGAACACAAGAACTAATAAACTTAAAGTGTTAGATTTATAAACATAAATCTCTGTGTGTATGTATATATATATACATATGCGCATTATCTGTGAATGCATATACTTACATATATACATCTACATATATGTAGACATATATACATATATGTACGCACATGGGTATATCTACTGACAAATAACACATGTTTATATAGAAATATACACAAAATAATATTTAGTATCTACATAGGAAAGAACTCACTAGGCACAGACGGTAGCTTAGCAAAGCGAAAGGTTTCTGGAGGAGGTTATAGCATCACATTCCTTGGTTATATTTTGAAATAGCATGTCGGGTGATCATCTCTCCTCTATGGATTAGTACAAAAAAAAGGTGTACATACCACACGACATCTGGACATGCTTTTTAGCCTTTCTATACTATATTGCCCAGACCAGAGGATTTAAATTCAAAGCCGAGCAAGATGATAAAATTTGTAACTTTGAGACATGTTCTTTGAAAGATCTGATAAATTGAGATTACATGTAGAAATACTAGAAGTTTTTTTTTAAATAAAAAAGTTTCCTAAGTCATAGATGACTTCTGATCCAAATCAGTGGATGGATTATCCATAATGATGAATTAAATCATAGCTACTCGATGCATTATATGAAAAAAGGAAGCCAATGTAGGCTCATTGAAAACATTACTTTGCTCTTTAAGCATCCAACATAGGAACAGAGAAAGGCACTGGTCCTATAATTTCATTGGTATATGGAACTTCCTGGTGAAGACATTTCCTTTACCAATATAGGTCCACAGTGTCTGAAATTTTTAGAGAGTTTCTTAGAGTAATAAGAGGTTAACTGACTTGTCCAAGGTCACACAATGAATGTGTGTTAGAGGCCTTGTTGCATGTAAAGTTGACATAGTATGGATAATAATGGCATGATTTCTTCTGGGCTTTGGAGATAATATGTCTTTCAGAATTGCTTATTGATTTCTCCCTTATTTTCTAGGTCACTGTATGAAAGATTTTGAAAATGTCTAATTTGACCATTTTCACTGAATTCCTCCTCATGGGGTTTTCTGACATTCGAGAACTTCAGATCATGTACGCTTTACTTTTCTTACTCATTTACTTGGCAACCCTGATGGGAAATCTCCTAATTGTTGTAGTCACTACTCTTGACAGGAGCCTCCACACTCCCATGTACTTCTTCCTTAGGATTCTGTCCATTGTAGATGCCTGTTACATATCAGTCACAGTCCCCAAGGCATCTGTTAACTCCCTAGTGAGCAACAGGGCTATCTCCATCACTGGATGTGCAGCCCAGGTGTTTCTAGTGCTATTCCTTGCATATGTTGAGTTCACTTTACTCACAGTCATGGCTCGTGATCGCTATGTTGCCTTATGCCACCCACTCCACTATCCAATGACCATGAATCCTCAGGTCTGTATGCAGTTGACATTAGCATGCTTGCTCACTGGCCTCCTCTATGCAGGTTTCAATACTGGTTACACATTTCGATTGCCTTTCTGCCAATCCAATGAGATCCACCAGTTCTTCTGTGACATCCCCTCTTTACTCACACTCTCTTGTGCAGAGACTTTCAGTAATAAGATATGCATAGGAGCCTCTGTTCTGGGGGTTGGGGCTGGCTGCTTTGCCTTCATCACTGCCTCTTACGTTCATATATTCTCTGCTGTGTTCAAGTTTCCAGTGAAAGCAGACCAAAGAAAAGCCTTCTCTACTTGTGTACCTCACATCATTGTGGTTTCTTTGTTTGTTGTTTCTGGCTTTTATGTATACTTACAACCATCTTCACATTCTGGATCCATTAAAGATTTAGTCCTTTCAGTGGCCTACTCTATAATCCCTCCTTTCCTGAACCCCATTATATATAGTCTGCGAAATAAGCAGATAAAAGAGGCAGTGAGAATAGTAATGAAGAGAAAACTTTTTTACAGCAATGTAGCATAAACGATAGTTTTTTACCCATATCATTGTTGCACATAATTCATCTACAAATAATGTTAGTGGTCTTTCGGGAAAGAAGCAACAGTAGGTCCATAAGTGCATGGCTCTGTGTAGACCCTATTTAGGACAGCAGACTGCTAGGATGTGTTCTCTTCCCCCTCTCCCTCCCACCTGGAGGCTTCCAGCAATTCTTACCTCCTCATCTGAATGCATTCAGACAGGAAATAAAGCAAGGTATCACTTAGGCCAGTCAATTTGAATGCATGTGACATTCTGACTAGTCCCAAATCATTTTCTTCACCATGAAGCAAGCAAACAGAAAACAGTGATAGATTAACTGTGCATGCCCTACAGTGAATGGGAAATCCTTCCACCCCACATCATCAGGGACTTCCAGTAACTGTCCGCCCAAGCCTCCCCACATGGGTTGGCAGGAGGTGGAGCATTCTACACATGGAGTTAGGCACATAACACTTACTAGCTGCCTGACCCTGGGCAACTCACTTAACCCTGTTTGCCATATTAAAAATAAAAACAAAAACAAAAACAAAAATACATATGGAGTTGCCATTAGCCAGTACCCCATTACAGAAACGAAGCCTAAATGAAATGATTCCAGGATGCTTGGATGAGAAAACTTAGTGATAGGAAGTTTTGGATATAAACATCATCTCATCCAATCTCCTCATTTTATAGAGGAGAAAGTGAAAGCTAAAATGGTAAAGAGATTTGTTTGTGGTCACACGCACATAACAAGTTAACAGAACCAGTTCATCTGATTGTGGATTTCATCCCTCTTCTCAACCCCATCCTCTCTTGATTTGTGAAATTTCATAATGAAAAAAGAGAATGTTGAAATGGAAAATGGTGGTGAAAAGAGGGGCATAAACAAGTCAATGACCAACTTAATAACAATCCTAACTATTGCATAATGTACTGAGAAAAAATGTACAGATAATTCCTACGTTTTAAATGTATGTAAGGCTTCTCTTTGACTTAGTGTGTGAACAATTTTTTGAGCATTTTATGTAAACTCGCAAGACTGTATTTAGGGTATGCAAAGCCCTGGACAAACAAATAAACAAGTGAATGAAGATAAACTACATACATATATGTGCATGTGTGTGTGTCTATATAAGCAATTTCATAATCAAAATTCTGTCTATATAAGCAATTTCATTAAAAATATATTACAAAATTTTGTGGAACCATGTGAAGTATAATGATTTATCAGTGAAGATTTAGAATAATTGTATCACCTCATATACCTTGTCATAAGAACTATTGTGATTTAAAACAATTTACATAACCAAAATGGTTTATTACATTTGACTTAGTACATGACCACTCATGTTCAAATTGCATTCAGCATGGGAAGCACTGAAGGTTGAAGATCAAATTGCCCCACCTACCCTCACAAATATTTATATCATTGTTATACATGTGAACTTGCAATTCTGTTATTACTAATATTATCATCCAATAACAATGTATTGGCAGGTAATATTGTGCTTTCAAGTGCCTCGTGACAGAACAAAAAACAATGTTATTTGATGAAAATGTGGAGCAAATAGAACAATTCAAGCGAATGTGGAGCATTTTTGGATCTCTTCACCATAAGGGGATCCTGCATTATTGACAACTGTGATTATCACATCTCAATAGTCAGTAAACATTTATTAAATGCCTACTATGTTCCAGGCACTGTGCTAAATGCTGGTGATAGAAATACAAAAGAAAGAAAGTAGGAAAGAAAGAAAGAAGAAAGGGAGGAAGGAAGGAAAGAAAGGAATGAAGAAAGATATCCCTTGACCTTAAGTAGTTTACATTCTAATCAAGTAAGACAAGCTACAAAAGGAAACCAAAAGCTAGGAGTGGAGGAAGGTATCTGAGGCAGGGGCATGGTGGACAAGTCAGAGGTGTACCAGAGTAGTGTAGCCATGTAAAAATGAGACATTCAGAGTTGAGCTCCCCCCTTAAAGGGAGGTTTGGGGCTTCATGGCTACATCCTTCAATCAAAGGGGTAGAGGTAGTGATGAGGTAGAGTAACAAGGCTGATGGAATCTTGCAGGATGATGAGGTTTTCCCCAAAATCAAATTCCTAGGGCATGGCAGAGAAGTCAAAGATGTCTCAGAGTAGTGCAGCTAGGTGAGAAATGGGGAGATATTTCTAATCCAGAACAAATAACTGGGTGTATTCAGACATTCCCATATCCCATACAAATAAGGCAACACTCGCTGGCTTAATTTAGGTATAGTCTAATGTTTACATATCCTGTACAATGCTTCCCATTCAAATAAGGTGACAGTTGGTTAGTTGCACAGGTCATTCATAAATTATTTAATTTTATTTTAAATATTTCATACTAGTTGTAATTTTTCTGCATATCATGAGTGGGGTCCTCAAAAGCAAAGAGTCCCTGGAAACACGCAGCCTTGGAAGGGGCCTTGCTTGCCAAGGTCTAAGAGTGGTACTGGTGGTTGTATTTCATATCTCACTGACATGCAGTAACTCTGGTAGCATACTGCTCTTCACAAAAATGGATTTTTGCTTCCATGGACTGCTCAGGCCTTTTACAATTTCTTGAAGACCGTCCAGCACACTGTTCTCCTGCTGAACTCTAAATCCAATTCATTGTCTACGTACTGTCTGTACAAGATAGAAACATACTGATAAACAAGCCATATATGTTGTCCATAGACACAAATGCTATAATCTAGGCAATAGATATTTTTCATCCATCTGATACATCCTGTGTGGATGGCAATGCTCTTTTGAGCAGTTGCAGATCTCTTCTAGGAGGCTTAGCTAATCAATATAATGACATCTGTAAACAGGAGCATCTGGATGAATTTACCTAAATTGCATTGAGAGAAAGAGTAAAGACATATGCAAATATAGCTAAGATCAATACTCTCACATGGATCAGTAAAATATACACAAAAATTGTTTTGGAGTTTTTCACTGCACTAGCACTGTACTCAGGCAAAGGCTTTTCCATAATCAGAAATACAACTGGGAGATTTTCTGTTATCTACATCTCTCAGGGAATCATGAACTGGTAAGGTTTTGTCCCATTATTAGCATTGCCCACAAAAACCTGTGGATGGCTAATTCATACCCTTTTTCAGGATGCTTTTCACGTAGAGCTGGTTTTTCTTTTAAAAAAGAAAGAAAACCCAATCACTAATATAAAAAATGAAAAGGGTGAATGCAACACCAAGAAAGAAGAAAATAAAGCAACTGTTAGGTGTTATTTTGCCCAATTATATTCCAGTAAAACTGTTAATTTAAGTGAAATAGATAAATATTTACAGAAATATAAATTGCCCAGATTAACAGAAGAGGAAATGGCATACTTACATAATTGTATCTTAGAAAAAGAAATTGAAAAAGCCATAAATCAGCTCTCCAAAAATGCATTGTCGATGGAGTTGTGAACTGGTCCAAACATTCTGGATAAAAATTTGGAACTATCCCTAAAGGGAATATAAAGTTGTTTTCCCTTTGATCCAGCAATACAACTATTAGAACTATATCCCAAAGAGATCAAGGAAGAGGGAAAATTCTGTATTAGTATAAAAATATTTATATCAACTTTTTTGTGTTGGCAAAGAATTCTAAATTGAGGGGATGCCCATCAATTGGGGAACAGCTGAATAACTGCAGTATATAATTATGATGGAATACTATTGTGCTATAAGAAATGACAAACAGGATGGTTTCAGAACCATCTGAGAAGAAGTTACATGAACTGAAAAAATTTATATGCAAAGTGAGTAGAACCAGGAGAATATCTGTATACAGTAACAGCAATATTGTAGCATTGATCAACTGCAAAAGACTTAGTTACCCTAATCAAGACAATGATCTAAGACAATTGAAAGGACCCATGATGAAAACGGCTATCCCCAGGGAGAGAACTGCTGAACTCTGAGTGCAGATTGAAGCAGATTTTTTCCCTTTCTTTACTTTTCTTGTTTTGTGTATGCATGTTTTCTTTTGCCACATTTTTACATGAAAGTAAATTGCATGACTTCACATGTATAATTGATATGATATTGGCCTGCTCCAAGGGGTGGAGAGAATTTGAAACTCAAAAATTTTAAAAATATTTTTATGTCTAACTGGGAAATATTTAATGAAATAAAATGTATTAAAATACAAGTAGAAAATGATTAGTAAAACAAATAAAAATACAATTCAACAGAAAAAAATAAGATAGTAGATCCACATCAACACAATAAAAATGCCAACACTAATTAAACTAACCTATACATAACTGAAATATGAATCAATATTTTTAAATTTTACTTTAAAGAAATGTGTACATAAATAGTAAGATTCATTTGGAGAAAATAAAAATGATCATTTTTGGGAAAAAAGTGAATAAAATAATTACTAAGGATTTCTAGTATTACCAGATGTCAACCTATGCTATAAATATTCTCATTAAAATGCATAGATTTGCTCAGAGGAAGATATACAAGCCATACATAGCCACATCAAAATTCTAAATCAATATTAATTAAAGAAAGTCAACTTATAGACAGCTCTGAAGTTCTACTTTTTACCCTTCAGATCGGCAAAGTTGACAAAAATGGAGATTGACAAATGCAGGAGGGGTTGTGGGAAATCAGGAACATGACTACACTGTTGGTAGTGCAATAAATCAGTCCAGCAATTCTGGAAAGCATTTTGGCGCAATGCCAAAAAGGTCACTTTTTTTTTTTAGTTAGACAGAGGGGTTAACTTGCCCAGGGTCACACAGCTAGTAAGTGTTATGTGTCTGAGGCCGAGTTTGAATTCAGGTCCTCCTGAATCCAGGGTTGGTGTTCTATCCACTGCACCACCTAGCTGCCCCCAAAAAGTCACTTTGAACCAACAACACCAGTATTAGGCCCATACTCCAAAAGGATAAAAAAGGGGGGCCCATATTACATGGAGGCCAATATGTAAATAAGTATTTGTGGTAGCTCTTTGTCGCAATGAAATGGAAACC